TCACTTCCTTAAAGAATAAACCAGAAATGTTTTTGGAAACATCAGTCTTATGGCAAGCAATGAAATGTGACATTTTGCTAAATCTATCAACAACCACAAAGATGCTATCATGTCCCCTTCTCGATCTAGGCAATCCAAGAATAAAATCCATAGACAAATCAGTCCAAGGTGTATTAGGAATGGGTAAAGGAGTGTACAATCCATGTGGTTTCAATTTTGATTTAGCCTCTCTACWTGTAATGCAAGTACGATAAACTTTATGAACATCATGATGCATGTGTGGCCAACAAAAATTATCTTTAAGGGAAACATAAGTCTTGTTTTCAGCAAAATGTCCCATAAGTCCACCCCCATGTGCTTCCTTAACAAGTAATTCTCTATAAGAACCCTTAGGAATGCAAAACTTATCTTTATGAAATATAGAAGTTATTGACTCAAATTCCATTCACACATTGAGAAAATATTTCACCAAAATCATCATCATTTTTGTACATTTTTTTAAAAAACTCAAATCCCAGCAATTTAGAAGATATAGTTGAAAACAAGGTATATCTTCTAAACAATGCATCAGCAACCACATTTTCCTTACCACTTTTGTACCTTATAACATTGGGAAAGGATTCAATGAATTCAACCCACTTTGCATGACGTCGATTCAACTTGTCTTGTCCCTTGAGATGCTTCAAGCTTTCATGGTCAGTATGGATCACAAACTCCTTTGGCCATAGGTAATGCTGCCAAGTTTGTAATGCTCTTACCAAAGCATACAACTCTTTATCATATGTTAAATAGTTCAAAGCATACAACTTCTCACTAAAGTACATAAGGGGTTTTTGTGCCTGAATTGAAAATGCTCCAATTCCTATTCCACTAGCATCACACTCAATTTCAAATGTATTTTCAAGATTTGGCAAAGACAACAAAGGTGCAGAACTTAATTTTTCTTTTAAAATAGCAAATGCCTTTTCTTGAGATTCTTCCCATTTGAAAACAACATTCATTTTAACCATTTCATTAAATGGTGCAGCAATGGTACTAAAATCTTTAATGAGCCTCCTATAAAAACTAGCCAAGCCATGAAATGATCTCACTTCACTAGCATTTTTAGGTTGTGGCCATTCCTTAATAGCTTTAACCATGTCAATATCAACTTCAACACCATTTGCAGAAACAACGAATCCAAGAAAATTAATCCTATCCAAACAAAATGAACACTTTTTCAAATTGGCAAACAATTAAGCTTCCCTCAATGCAAGCAAAACCTTTCTAACATGCTCGACATGCTCGACATGCTCTTCTAATGACTTGGAATAAACAAGAATATCATCAAAGTAAAATACCACAAATTTTCCTAGAAATTCATGCAAAACATGATTCATGAGACGCATAAACTTACTAGGTGCATTGGTAAGACCAAAAGGCATAACTAACCACTCCTACAATCCATGTTTGGTCTTAAAGGCAGTTTTCCACTCATCACCAACATTCATCCTAATTTGATAATATCCAAATTTGAGATCAATTTTAGTAAATAAAATAGACCCATGTAATTCATCTAACATATCATCAAGTCTCGGTATAGGATGACGATACTTTACCGTAATCTTGTTGATGGCTCTGCAATCCAGGCACATTCTCCAAGAACCATCTTTCTTCGGAACTAAAATGACCGGTACTAAACATGGACTAAGACTTTCCCCTCACATATCCTTTGGCAAGCAACTCATCAACTTGCTGTTGAATCTCCTTTGACTCAATAGGATTAGCTCGATAAGCTGGCCTATTTGGAATGACTGCTCCAAGGATGAAATCAATTTGATGATCAATTCACCTAATTGGTGGCAATCCACTTGGTAGTTCTTCAGGAAATATGTCATTAAGTTCCTGCAACAAACTCAGAAAAGTACTAGACAAAGAAGTTTCTAAGTCACAAGTTAGAAAACAAGGTCCTTTGCACAAAAGTACAAAGATCGGTTTTGTTCAAAAACAAAGCTTTCCTAACCTCACTATTTCTAGCTATCAAACTCTCATTTCTTACTTTTCTCTCTTTGAGCACTTTCTCACTTTCTCCACTCCTTTCTTTTTTTCCACAATTGTTTTTCTCACTCTCATTATTTTTTTCTTTGAAATTCTTTTCTCTCTTGCTCTTTTCACTCAAAATATTTTTACTCTCTTGCTCTATTTTCTCGGTCTCCACTCTCATTTTCTCTAACTTACATTGCTCTTCAAATACATGCTTGGTTGACAAAGGAAGAAGAATTATCTTTCGCCCATCCTTGGTGAATTTGTAGCGATTAAGATAACCATCATGAACAGTTCTTCTATCGAATTGCCATGGTCTTCCCAAAAGAATTTCTCCAGCATGCATGGGTGTAACATCACATAGAACATCATCCTTGTATCTTCCAATAGAAAATGGCACAATGCATTGGCTATTAACTCTAACTTCCCCACAACTGTTCGACCACTAAAGTTTGTATGGTCTAGGATGTGGTGTTGCCGGCAATCCCAATCGTTTGATAAGTAATGTACTCACAACATTAGTACAGCTTCCCCCATCAATTACCACACTACAGGTTTTCCCATTCACATGACATCGGGTATGAAACAATGTTTCCCTTTGCTCCTCAATGAGGTCCTCTTTAATTAGGGTACTTAAAGCTCTTCTAGATACAAGCACATCATTTACTACTGGTTCTTCATAGCTACCATCACTAGACTCCTCCAAATAAACTATTTCTCCATTCTTCTCCTCATTTTCACTTTCTTCACCCTCAGTTACTACCTCTCCATGTTTTTTATGATCATTGTCCTTTTTTTGGACAATCCCTACTTACATGTCCTACCCCATGACATTTCCAACATTTAGTATCCCTAGTTCTCTCCTTATGTTCATCTACCTTCTCTTTCCCCTTCATTGAACTCTCCCCTTTCTCAATTTTCCTCTTAGGTTTCTCATTCCCCTCTCGATTTCTAGGATAAACATTAATATCCTTTTTCCATGTAGCACTAGAGTTGGAAAATTGTTTAGAAGAATACCGTTGGGACTTCCGTTGGATTTGTCTCTCGATCTTGATTGCTAAATGCAACATCTCCTCAATGTCGAAGTAAGGTCGTAGATCAACCTTGTCAGCAATTTCCTTGTTTAGGCTATAAAGAAAACGTGCCATGAGTTGCTCCATGTCATCGTCTAGATCAAGTTGATCCATCAAAGTGTCCATCTCCTTTCAATAGTCCTTCACTGACTTGTTTCCTTGTCTCAACGCTTGCAGTTTTTGTGTCATGTCCCTTTCAAAATGTTCTGGAACAAACAGCTTCCTCAAAGACTCCTTGAACTCGTACCACGAAACAATTGGTGCTTCAAGATTCCTTCATTTATGCGACATTAGCTTATCCCACCATGTTTGTGCATATTGTTTAAATCGAGTGATACATAGTTGTACCTTTTTTTCTTCACTAAAATTATGGCACACAAACACTGACTCCACCTCCTTCTCCCACTGGAGATATTCTTCTGGATCAGTCTTGCCAAAGAACTTTGGACTCTTTAATTTGATGATCCCTAGATTACGATAAACTTGAGCCTCTTCTCTCAGAGCTCTCCTCTGATAATTGTGTTGTCTTCCACGACCTCTCCCTCTATCCAAGCGATGTCCAACACGTTTATCTCCCCTTCTATGCGCAGCTAACAAGGTAACTTGGTCATCCTCTAGTTCATCAGACCCACCTTCCTCAAATTCATTCTCTCGATATAAAAGATGGTAATCCATCACACGTGGTGGTGGTGGTGGTATCCTCTCCTGCGCTTGGTTTTGAATCTCCAACCTGTGCATTCGTTTCGATATGTCTTCCATGGTACGAATCATTATCTTTGTTGGGCCTCTCTTATCCTACCATCCAATATGTTACCTTCGTTTTCTTCATTTGTCATGCTGCAAAAATGAACACACAGTAAAAATGGACCTTTTAAGCACTCCCTCACGTGTTTACTCTCTTGGAATATGAAGGGTCACTCGTGTTTGCAGTCAAGAAAAAAAAAGAATGTATAATACCCTAAGATTTCTAATTTCTCAAACTTCAGCAAGTTTTGTAGTATTCAAGCAAGAACACTTCAATATAGCCTAGAATGTGAAAAGTTACAAAAATCCAGAATTTAGAAAACAAGCATTGAAAGAGGCAATGAAATGAATTTGAAGCAAAATGGTTCAAGAATGAGATGATGGAAATGAATAGGAATGATTTGATGAAAAGATAGAGATATGAGGGATAAAGCGTTGGAACTATCTTCACATGTAATGCAAAAGAAACAATGCCTCACTACTTGTCGGCACTTTTTTTTTCTTTTTTTTATCACATAAAAATAGAGACAATCAGCATCGAATATGAAATGCCAATAAAAGATGATAAGTCTCTTCGTCTTCTTTTCTTTTCCTTTTTTTTTAAAGGAACTTCTTTTTTCAGCAAGCACGATAAAAAAGTGAAGCAAATATGAGAAGAAGCAAAATGAAATTAGATGTAACGATTGAATGAAGAAAGAAAGAAAGACGAAGAACAAAGGCAAGAGAAATAGATATAATTTGTTTTAGAGCCAAAGCTCTGATACCAAATGATAAAGGAACTAACTCAATTACTTTTTCAATGCACATGAACGATCTTAAACTTAATTCCAATCAAAGTCTAAACAACATCAAAAGTAAATTTCAAACATATATATTTAACACAAATTTAATTATTGGACCATAAACAAAACATGCATAACACAATAAATCAATTAAAACAATAAACCAACTTTAAATAAAATGAAAAGAGATAAGTTTGTACCAATATGCTAAATCCTTCAATGCAAAACAAGGATCGATGAAAGAACTCCGACGAAAAGAAGTCCCAAATCGTGAGGGCCGATTCTACACACAAAATAGGGCATATAAGGTATAAATCAACAAAAATGAAACTCAAAAACCAAATATACTTACCTACGTATTGAAACGAACCAACGGCCGATGATTTCGTTGAAGAAACCAGCGGCAAGGATGACCTTTGAGGCGGGCGGCGGCATTGGAACAGGAAAATGGGGGAGAGAAATGGAAGAGGCAGAAACGTTGAATGAGGAGGAGGAGAAAGGGGGTTGGGTTGTTTGAGAGGCTAGGTTGTTTTAATTTTCCCATCAAAACGACGTCGTTTGACATATGCGAATTTCGCATATGTCAACACGCGGCAAAGTACTTTTCGTTGCTTTTGCAGAGATGAAAAATACTTTCGTCGCTGGTACGCAAAATCATTGTCGTCGCTGGTTTGCGACAATAAATATATTAAAGCGACGAAAAGAATGTCGTCGCTGAAGACTTTTTTTGTTGTAGTCTCCATCCAAGATTTTAACTTTGGTTGGGATCTTAGAACTCCATAGCCACTTCCACCAACTCTCATTCCATGATGTATCTGAAGAACTGGCCCTAGGGTTCCTTGAATTAGCCACATGGTAACCACTTTTTACAGAGAAATTACCATTTTTCATAAACTACTACAACAACTTATCAGGTTGATTACCTGTAACGCCCCGCGTTACTCAGGTTAGCTTGCCTCGAGTTCCGGGAAATTTTTATAACAAAATAGATTTTATTTATAAAGTTATTTCATTTTATTTTATTTGATTCATCAGTTATCTTTATTTAATTTAAGTGTGGCATCTCGGCTAGTGTGTATTGTTACAGAATTAGTGGTGAGTTAGTAGCGTGTAGTTATTTATCAAGTTATGGTTTAGTACGGACGCCGCAATGTGACACTTGTTTTGGGCCATTGGGCCATTTATGAAATTATATTATTGGCTTGTTTTAACACGGAGGGGTTGGGTAAGTAGGCCTTAAACAAAAGGAAAAGAACCCAAGCCCAAAGGAGTTAAAGTTTTAAAACAAAGAAAAAACCCTAGCCCTTGTTCTTCCCTCTTCTTCTTCCTCCCTTTCCCTCTCTTGTTGAAGCCGCCAACCACCCCCCACTTAGGTTCTTCTTCTCCGGCGAGCA